CAAATTCACAAATGTTAACACAAATTACTCAAATTAATTTGTAAAGACTAACATGTTGTCTTTTTTAAGATTAAACTAAATTTTTTTTAAGTTTTTGTCGACTAAAATTGACTAAAACCATTAAATATCGAAATGACTAAAACCGACTAAAACTAAGAAGTATTTTTGTTCAAAAGACTAAAATTAAAATGGCTGCAAAAACAACACTGTTCAGGACTGACTGAAAGTAACATGGAGCCTGAATCAGCATCACATGATACTGTATTTATCATTTTAAAATGATTGTTTTTTTTAATTGAATGTTGGCAAATATTTCAGTCCAAAGTGATCAGTCTTTATTCTGTCTTACCACCACTGAGAGCATCAAATAACCGATGTATGGTAGCCACGTCTTTGACAATCCCACACTCCTGAATGCAACACACAAACTCCTCCTGGCTCAGAGGCTTTTTGGGAAGTTCGAACTTCTTGATGCGATTACTAGTTTGGACAAGTGTCTTCGCATTATCAGTTTTAACCTGATAAAAGAAAAAAAACATCTGTGAGATCAGAGTCTGATGTAGAACTTCAACCCAACCCTCTGTGGTGCGATCAGGAACAGGTTTGTTCGTACGGACCCTGAAGAAGAGTCTCTTCATCTCCGGTCTTATGTGGGCCAGCTGCTTCTCGTCTTGCTGCAGCGAGTCCACGAGCCACGTGACCAAGTGTGTGGGAAATATGTCCGTGTCCGTCTTGTAGAGATTCTGGAAATCACTTAAAGCGTCCAGGCGCCGTGAACACAACGTGTGGATTAAACCACGTAAGTAGTAATACCTGCAGAAAGGAACTTCAGTGAAGTCGTGAAAAAAAAGAAAGTTCTATAAAAGTTAAATACAAAAATAAAATCAGAATACCTGGCCAGCAAAGCAGAATTCTCATTTTGCATTGATTGAATAGTTTTTCCAAGCTGCTGGATGAGATCGCTGTAATAACTGTGAACGAAGGAGGATGACAGAGTCACTGGGAAGTGTGGGAGCTTCAACACATCCACAGGCTTAGGCTGGGATTTCAGCACTAGACAGGAAACAAAGAGATGAGAAGGTAAATGAAAAACACAGAGGAGAAAAACAAGCTTATAAAAAGAACAAAACTATAAAACATCTTTTTTGTTGGCTACTTTTAGTTCTTAGTCAGCCTTTAGCTGTGTTTTAGCTTTTAACTAGTGTTCCTTTATAAAGTTTTTTTTCTTAGCTTTGATGACGCAGTTTAAACTTTTCATCAGTCATTCAGGAAAAAGTGTTCACACTGCATTTTTACTGCAAACATTTTTTTGTTTTGTTTTATGTTATTAAATTTAGAATCTTTGCAAAGGTCTACATACACTTTATTTTTCACTTGTAGTGCCATATACAGTGGTTTGCAAAAGTATTCATACCCCTTGAACTTTTCCATATTTTGTCACATTACAACCACAAACATAAATATATTTCACTGGA